TATATTCATTTTATGTAAAAATTTAAAAAAACTAAAAGTGGACAATGTTCCATTGATAGAACATAATGGTTACTATAAGTTTATAACAGTATACTTTTTATCTAAAGAGATTTTGTGTGCATTGATGAACATGAATAAAACTTTGAAAGCACCTTCCTATAACATTAGTCAAAATTCTGAGAATGTTAGCTTCCTGATTTGAGTTGTGTTTAGCTGATGATGGACTATAGCAGAGAGTTTCAAATACAACATCGCCCGCAGGTGACTGATAGTGGGGAGCAGCTGTCTAACAGGCAGTCTTGTTCATCTGCAAGCTGGCGGTTAGAAAGAATATGTCCCTCCTAACCACATTACACCAACACACTTACAGTAGGTGTGTGTGATGTCATGTACCTGTATGTGTGCAGTTCTTCTCACCTTTGAAAAATGATAGTATCAGCTTCTTAGTTATCATTCAAAAACTCATTTCTAATGCATTCTAACGCAATACACTACATTGGCCTAATAACCAGCGAATCTGATCTCTCTCAGTGATGGACGTGCGAGGAGGAGGGAGAATCCAGGATGAATGAGAGAGAGAGAGAGAGAGCAGGGGCGCGGGCAGATGGTCGGGCTGGTGTGGAGTCTTGCTTCGGTGGAAATCCCTGAGTGCTTAACCCCTCCTCCACTAGGGAGAGATGTGTCATGACAACAGTTCCCCCCTCCCTGCGGCAGATCCTCAGTGCTATCTCCAATCCAGACCTCCAGAGGAGAAGAAACAGCTCTGCCAGTCTGCCTCCGCAATACTACTCACATCTGCCTTGTTTTATGCAGATTCAGATAGATAGATAGATAGATAGATAGATAGATAGATAGATAGATAGATAGATAGATAGATAGATAGATAGATAGATAGATAGATAGATAGATAGATACAATAACTTAGTCAGGGGATTTAAAAAAGGATGTTTGAAATATTGACCTGAATCTCGATACAAAGCTCATCTCTTTCTGTTAGAGCCACTGCTTCTCTCTACTGGCTGATTGCAGTCACGACACCCACCTTATAACGTGTATCTAGGCTAATACATTTCTGGTACTCCTGCTGTAATGACAAAGCTACTTGTTTTAAAAAAAAAATCCTTTAAATATACAGAGTGGTAAAATATTTAAATAATTAGATAAAATAACTTATATTACAGAAGTTTCAAGAACTTAATTTTCCAGTAATTTGTGGAGAAATTATGTATATATATATATATATATATATATATATATACAGTATATAAAATGTAAATATTCCCCTAAACTGCTGGGAATCTTGGGCAAACAAACTAACTAACTAATGGATATTTGTGGCTAAGATTGTAGAGAGTAAAAATAAAATCAAGTCCAAGTCCAGTATCAAGTAAATGTCCTGTATTCTATAAATAAAGAGGACCCATGCAAACAATTTTTTGAATGTGCGCTTCATTATTACACCAAAGGAGGGCAGTGTTTCACGGTTTATAATAATATGATCAAACACCTGTTGCCATGCGCTACAGAACACAGGGAATAATGGATTTATGTGAGCATTCATGTGTTACAGGGATGTAGATATTCCAAAAACAGATCAACCATTTTTTCTTCAAAGCAACCACTGACACATCCTCCTCTTTTACCGTTGTTTTACTTTTTATTTGGACTTCGAGGAAAATGTGTTGGGATCATGTTCAAAGAATTCTCCGTGACAGGTCCTCAAGTGTATAAAGAAAAGTCCATTTGTGAACCCTCCAGATCTCAAGAGCGTGTTTGAAGTCATGAAATATTATGTGATTTTGAATGAAAGGAAATAGTCACATGATCATACCAGAGGCGTAGTCGTTGAATCGATATCGACTGTTCTGGTGTTTTTGTTAAAGTTATGGATAATTTCTTTAAAGTTGATTGGTAGTTTTATGATTAGACATGCTGCGTAGCACTCTTCTGATAGAAAGCCTAGGTTGAGTGTCGGTGAGAGAAAGAAAATCTTTGCTGAGGTGTGAATTCCCACCTTGAATATTTTTTCTTTCAGTGCAGTATGGACATTCTCAGCGGACTAATTTATTTTCTGTGAATGTTATCCAAACATTCTACGTTGGTTGTTCTAAAAAAAAAAGGGTTAGTTCACCCAAAAATGAAAATTCTGTTATTAATTACTCACCGTTCCAAACCCATAAGACCTTCGTTCATCTTAGGAACACAAATAAGATATTTTTGATGAAATCCCATCCTAAAGCTCTCTGACCCTCCATAGACAGCAAGGGTACTACCACAGTCAATGCACAGGAACGTAGTAAAGACATCGTTAAAATAGTCCATGTGACATCAGTGATTCAACCATAATTTTATGAAGCTACGAGAATACTTTTTGTGTGCAAAGAGAACAAAAATATCGACTTTATTCAATGATTTTTCTCTCCTGGGACAGTCCGCTGCCATTATGAACAGTAGCTTTACCACGGCGCATGTGTGTGCATTCCTCTGCTCGTAAACAAGGTGCAGCGCATGCATGTTCTATGTCAGCAGCACCACACCATAATGGCAGCAGACTATTTATTATTTTTGCTTTCTTTCATCCAAATTTCATCAAATATATCTTAATTTGTGTTCTGAAGATGAACAAATGTCTTACGGGTTTGGAATGACATGATGAGGGTGAGTAATTTTGGGTGAACTATCCCTTTAAAGCTGGAATACACTACACCAATGTGAACAGATTTTAAAACACTGGGCATCATACACTAATCGACTTTGTAATAGTGACAGAGGAAAAACTGGCCATAATACAGTAAACGACTGAGGATCACACACTACCAGACTTTCAAGTTGTTCCGATTACAATGAAACGTGACAATGAAAACAAATTGTGTTCATGGCTCAAAATATCAAACATGTTATCCTCCGACTGGATGAAATCGGGGCAAAATCGTGTAGTAGTGTATTACAGCATTTAGCACAATGTTCCTTGCAATACCCTTTCAACTTAATTTTAAACCATTTAAAACATTTTGGAACATTCCAAGAACATGAAAGCGTTTTCTTAATGTTATTAGAAAACTGTTCTTGGCCAGTCCAGGTTTAATTTTAAGGCTAATATGTACACTCTAAAACTGAAGGCATTTTCAGTGAGTTTTCAAAAGACCTATTTTAAGGGCATTTAAAAAGAAAGCACCAAGTGTCTGTCCATCTCATTCACAATTGACTAGGTCAGAGCACACAACGGTCATGGCAATTCCTCTTCTAACATTTACTTCAGAGAGAATCTCCTTAATCAACCATTTTCTTTCTCTTCTCTTATTATTTCAGTGTTTTAAGTTTAAAGGGGTCATATGATGTTGCTAAAAAGAACATTATTTTGTGTATTTGGTATAATGAAATGTGTTTATGCGGTTTAAGGTTAAAAAAACACATTAATTTTCACATACTGTACATTATTGTTTCTCCTCTATGCCCTGCCTTTCTGAAACGCGTCGATTTTTACAAAGCTCATCGGTCGGAAAAGCGAGGTGTGCTCTGATTGGCCAGCTATCCAGTGCATTGTGATTGGCCGAATACCTCAAGCGTGTGACGGAAATGTTACGCCCCTTACCATATTGTGATGCCCTGTCCGGCCGGAGCTACGAGACAAAAACCCATTATAAACGAGGCATTTGTTGCATCCAGTGGGGACATAATTACGGATTATAATGACTTATAATGTCTTTTTAGGCGTTGCATTGCATTGCGCCGCGTAAACATAAAACCATGTCTGCATTTGTGATCGGAGAAATGACACACTCCCCAAAACTCGCGTTTGAATCGTCAGTGGCCAATTCTTTAAATATTAAATATTACAGCCTGTGAGTCAGAACGGCCGGCATTGTAGTCTACTCTACCAGGATCAGGAAACAGTCCTCCATAAAATGCGCTGGACACATCTGAATATTTGGGTTGAACTGTTCTGGAACAGTGTTGTAAATACAACTTAACCACTGATTTCTAGTCGTGTCCTCTTTTGAAAGGCCAAACAAATTAGTTTCGCTTTCACAACGAAACACAGCGTCACACACGGTGGGCTAGATTGAGCAGCGGCCGGAGGCCTGGAGTGAGCGGTGGCCTAGAGTGAGCGGAGGTCGGAGGCCTAGAGTGAGCGGAGGCCGGCTTGAATGAGTGGCTGCGGGCGGGCTTGTGGCAACCACATGTGGCGACCCCGGGCTGGACTCCGCTTCGTCCACGGTGAAAGCCGATGCGGTGATCCACAGCATGAAGTTGATGTATTTCCTCGGCGACCAGCACGGATCACCTCCAGGCATGACGAAGCAGATATCGTCCTCTTTTGGAAGGCCAAACAAAGTAGTTTCGCTTCACGACATGGCAGCGGCGGCAACAACAATACTACAGTGAAAATAAAAGTCTTCTTTCTTTGCGTGAACATTTGGGCGCCGTTATGCAAATCTTCCCACATCATGATGTAGATATGTGGGGGCGTGTTAGAACGAGCCATTTTAGGTAGGAGTGGTTGGCTTAACTTTTACAAAGAATATCCCTTTGGATTTGATACTTTAGTCTTTGCAACTTTACAGATTTCTTTATGCACCAAGAGCTTGTAACACTCCAAACAGTTGACTTTACATGTATTTTTACCGTCTTCAAAGAAAAAGCCCAGTCATTTTTTACTATTGGTTAGACATAAAAGAAAACCAAATTTTATCCAGAAGCATAAAATTATCTGTTTCTGTTTAATTTTATATCTATTTTAATTGTCCTGTGTGTGTGACTCCTCATTTTTACAGATATGCATCAAGATGGAGATTATGCATAGACAAACTAGTTAAATATTTTATCATTATCTGGTGTGTGGACTAAAAATGAAAATTAATTAATAACTGTCCAATCAAAATAAATAGATAAATAACTAAAATCAAAAAGCACAAACACATTTAGTAAGACAAAGACAGAGAAACTGATTTTTGAGAACCTCAAGGGATGAACAGATGCACAATCAGACACAGACTGCATACATTTCCGATTCTTTATTTAACGTTACTTTATAAATAAATGGAGGGTTAAAGATATTACATCAGAACACATGGCCACTTCAGAATATCCTGTGCATTATATAAATGTAGCACCATTTTGGAGACAAATCCAGCGCTGACAGGGAGAATATTTGACCTAATGTTTATTCAGCAATATTTCAGAAACAGTACATACAGGAAGAGTCTATGAGACACGAAACGATGAACATTATTAAGACACGTGAGAAACGTCACAGAGAATAAAAAAAAATCAGCTGAATAAACTCCACCGTACTCTTTCAGAATTCCTCGTTTATCATTTCTCACATTATCCCTCATACACTTTCAGGTTTCTTTCCTTTCCCACACCAGTTTCATACCCTTTATGCTCCCACTGACTGTTTGTCCTAGATTTCTGCATGTCTGTTATTTAAATATTAATCCTACCCCTGGTAATTACATGAGACCTTTCTAAAATAACATCAAAATTGCAGACATAATGACGCAGACAACATTTACAGGCTGTTTTAACACACATACTGCAGTGCAACATTTGAGGGCATACAATCCAAGCGTCAGATATGCTTAGAATCTATACCCTAGTCCACAAAATCATGTTTTTAGTCTTTGATTAACAATTTTTAATGCATGTTTCTAATTAAAGAGCTAAATAATTACTCAAATAAATAAAATTTAATATTAGGTATTAAATGTTAACTGGTCGTCTTTTTTTTTAATTGCTCAAAACACAATAAAGAATCCTATATACATAGTTTTTGGTACAAAGGAAATAACCAATATATAACACAACACAAGGACCACAATTAATGTAAACATCCACAAATACACTGCACATCACTGAGGCTGAACATTGATCTCAACCATGGAGAGGCTTCTTCACTGTAGCACAATGACTAATGTCAGGCTTCAAATGCTGGATAGCACACAAGCAACCCATTGTGTAAGATACATCTGAGGTAAATTCAGAATTATGCAATAATGGGTCTCGATGCCAGTTATATCTTACTTTTATGTTTAATGGTTCAAACAGAGAAATACTCTGTCTAGTTCAGTCAATTAAGACTAATAATCAAACCTTTTGGTTAATCTGCATTTCTGAGGGATGATGATCCTCTTGAACATTTTTGAACTGAATTTTAGAGGGAGACTTCCAATATAGCAAGTAGACGTTTGACTATCTCATCTCCTGACCATTGACAACTATTGCAGCAGTTTTGTACACATACAGTCAACACATGCTTATGAAACCCTGCAGGCATGTAACAACAGATACTTGGATTGTATCTCTATCTAGGAAGCGAAGATGGCCAATGTTAGTCTGTTAAACTCGCTGCGACTTGTGAATCTATAGGGCAGAGATCCTCCCTCTCAAGTTTTTGCTTTTCATCCGTTTCACTCTCTTCCATCTTGGCATTTTTCTGGTCAGAGAAGGGCTCAGAAGATGGTGCTCCAGCGTTTGGGTGGAGAGCGAGATCGGCTTTCTCCCTGAGATCGGAGAGAAAACCAGTATGGTCATCGTCGTGTCAATTGCGTAACATGAAACCTTCTCAACACTGGTGCTTGATTATGCAAGGTCAAAATCAATGTTAGTTCTGAAACACATTACAAAAGAATAACTGCTGAAGCTTGCACAGAAATAGCACAGAGCATCAGCAGAATGGGTGAAGGACCTCAATGTTCAATGTCAAAACTCAAGAATTGAATAACAAAAATGGCAATGTTGAGTAATCCATATTGTAGGAGCGTTATCAGCCATTACAAGCTATGCTACATTTCGAAAAGAGTGATCTGAGCACTCAGCGTTCTAGCTCTACAGCACAATGGATGTGGAAAGCCAGGCTGATTTGATTGTGTTCTCTGTGTCCTCTGTTCAGGAGAGATTGTCATGTGAAAAGCGCAGAAGAGAAGGGAGAAAACAAAATTAGGCAAAAGGGCAGATGAGGTAGATGATTTGAACTAAACGCGAACATCAGTGTCATTCTGCTTCAATGTCACATTTAAAATGTTAAAAACAGTACCTGTTAAAAAAATTATATGGACAAGATACGTGCAAATATGTACATTTATAAATATACTACCGTTCAGTTGTTTGGGGTCAGTAAGTTTTTTATATTTGTATTTAGCAAGGATGCCTTAAATTGTTCAAAAGTGACAATTATAAACACAAAAAAATAAATGCTGCTCTTTTGACTTATATTATCATGTTTTCAACATTAATAATAATTCAGCTGTCATCACAGGCAAAAAAATACTGGTTTAAAATATAAAAATAGAAAATGATTATTTTAAATTGTAATTTGTTTTTACTATATTACTGCTTTTACAGTATTTTTGATCAAATAATACTAGGTGAGCAACTTTTGAATGCTAGTTTATGTATACAAATTCATTTCATTCCAAACCTGTAAAACTATTTTTATCAGTGGCCTATTTTCCTACTTTCATTGTTTCCATATAATGAAACCGAATGGTGACCATGGCTATCATGCAAATCTTTTTTTTTAGTCCTTAAATTACCTTTTTTGTATTGGTCCCCATTCGCTTTCGTTGTATGGAAAATGCACCTCAAGACATGATGATTCACATCTTTACTTTCCATGGATGAAAGAAAGCCATACGGGTTTGGAAAGACATAAGGATGAGTAAATGTTAGCAGAATTTTGACTTCAGTGTGAACGATTCTTTTTAGGAATCAAATCTTATTGGCAATCAATGAGAATGAACATGAAGAGATGTGAATACTTTATGCCCTGCACCTGGCAAAAGTTCAAAATGCTTATGTTACAATGAGACTCTCAATGACTGAGTGAACATAAGCAAGATTAGGGCGCATAGAAAGACTCAACTTTGACTGTAAAATTGAAACAGATGAGACAGGCCTTCTTTATAACCTAAATAAATATTGATTTTGAAAAGCTTAACTGAATAAAAGACCTTCAATGACTGATGAAAGACTGCACAGCCCTCACTGACAGGATAGGTGTCATTACTTTAGTGAGAGATGGATATTATTGGACTTGCATACAGAAGGTGACTCTGGGTCAGAAACAGAAGCAGTCAATAGTCTTGTCAAGGACATTCTCATTCACTTTTTCACATGCCTCTTCAAGCGCATAAAGTGAGTTCTGGATGCTTTCAAAGCAATAATCTATGCAACATCCCATTATCGAACATTTTTAATAGCCTTAATTATATCTCGATGTTGAAATTGCTTTCTTTGTAAGCATTTGCATAAAGGCGCTTCAATCAACTGTAATTGCGTTTAAATGAGAATAACCTTTTTTAAAAAGCTAAAAAAAAGAGATCTTAAATATGTATGATAATCTTTTCAGAGAGTCTTTTTCTACTGTTTTAGGCTCACCAGGTTGAAGATTCTGGAGAGTGTATTCTGTTCCCTTCTGCGTCTGTGAGGCGATCTAATGCTCTCCGAGCCACGTGCTGACGGGGATGCCTAAAACATATAGTTTATGAACACAGAGAGGATACCAGCCCACTGCTGTTTAATGATATACTAGTTTCTTTGTGATATTATATCAAACTGTGAATTAAAAATGTAAAAAATTGGCAAATGTTGCAGTATAGATTCTGTGCTATATGTTTTGACTGGTGATGCATCAGTGCATTTCTGCACCGACATCTACAAATAAAGAGTGCAAAAGGAGGTTGCAGCACAGATAATGTTACATGTTTGCCACATATCTAGTATTATAGGAGGGGGTGATTTAGAGATGGCAAGAGTGCAGCATAGGAGGATAATCATAACATGGGTTATTTACATATTTGATCGACCATAGGAAATGATCTGAACAAAACAGTTTTGCCAGCCAAAGAAAAACACTTTTTTTGTGTGTGTCAGTTATTAATATCCAAATACATCTAATGCTGCATGCCTTTATGTATTGGAGCCTGTGGAGTTAAACAACATGTGACAAAAACACAGGGGGCGCTGGTGAGTCAGTGAATCAAGACCTGGGAAGGGAGTGGATGTGTTGGAATATGGGTTTATGGGGGGAGTGAACAGTTCGAAGACCCCTAGAGAGAAAGCTGCATTACCGGCTGCGACTCAGAAAAAGCCTTGCTGTCTCAAAGTCATCAAGAAGCAGAGAGTCGCTCTGGTTCAGGAGAAATCCCATCAGAAAAGAAAGAGCGCAACAATCAAGGCAAAAAATATACAGTAGAAAGAAAGAAAGAACTGAAAAACAAGCAAAAATATGATAACTAATATTTTTTACACTAATAATTTCAGTGCTTAAGATCACTCTTTCATGTACTATAGCACAGCTAAAAGCTGTGGAAATTCATAATCACATGAAAAATGAGGGTAAAATGACAACAGATTTCTTAAGCAATGCCCATTTCATGCATTTTGACATTACAAAATGTGTTCTGCATATTTAATCTTATGAGATTGTGAGTTAACGTGCAATAATTATATTGAAAGCATTAAATGTGGCTAAATTGAAACCACAATGCAATAATGCTAAATAACTCCACTAAAAATGGCATGGGCCTAAATTTGATGGCCCTCCACACAACTAAAAATGTGATCAATCTGGAGATTTGCGTAAAATTAACCCATTCTCATGAAGCGCAGCGAAAAGTTCAGCAGCTGTAATTAGAGCGATGCATTGGTTAATTCACAAAGAAGAGAACAAATGATTAAGAAATGTGACAGATCTATTAGAAACGAGACATAGGACAGGAAGACGTCCTGCAATCAGCCAATCAGATTGTTTATGAGAGTGTCTGTGAATGCAAACGTGAGTCACATCAAAGATGAATGACATACCAGGCCCAATAGTTCTCTCCACTGCACATGAAACAAAAAAGAATGTAGAATGATTAACTTTCTTCTTAGATGAAAGTACAATTTCATTGCTGGATACGAGAATGCATAGAAAATGGTTATGGGTCAAATCTATTCTGTCTGCTAGGAAACAGCTGTATTATTCATTTAAGAGGGTGGTTGTAACCCCATGCTTAATAGTAATTAGGTAATGATGGCCTAATAGAGTGTTACAAATTTCACATTCTTGCTCTGTCACCATTTATATCCTGAGTGAAGCAATTTTTCAGCAGAATATCGCTGCAAATTGTCTTGAAATAACTTAAAATGCATATACCACGAGCACTTTAAACAATGGTATTAGATGCATGCCAGTAGAAAAATGGGATGTGAGACTTACCCTCGACTTGGGACGAGGAGAGGACACCTTCAAGAAAACAAATGAAAACTTTTAGTCAAGGAACATTTTAAGAATTCAAAAAGCAGAGCCACAGCTTTTAATTTAGAGTATTATAACGAGACATTTCGTTATCCTGCATAATACAAACAAGATAAGCAATCCTTGAATAAAGACTTTTCATTTTAAAGATGTTTACAGGGGTCGATCATTAGGCTTCCTTGCAGTTCAGATGAATGATGAAGGCAGAGACTCTATCTTTTTAATGAACAAGCCCACAGACCTGAGGAACAACGGGGGTGGTAATTAGTAATTAAATAAGTCTACATGCTGGTTTGAGGTCGTGCCACCTGACAGTGGAATTTGCCACATTTTCACATCACAGCTTACATCACGAAATAAAAAAGTGAGGAAGGTGATGTTAAAGGAGAGCGATCGACTTCTCTGTCACGCAAATGTTTCCACACATACAAGTGTATATTCTCAAATTTTCATCTGAAACAGTGACTTTCAAAGAGTGACTCATTCTATACTAGATAGCAGAGAATCTAACACTAGTGATGTAAGTGTGTGTAATGTTGTCTGTCTCACAGAAAAACAAGTCTGGACTATTGTAGCAAAGAAAACATGGGCTGCATGTTGAACATGACGACAAACTTGGCCTGCAGACTCAGGCGGCAAATGGCCAGACACAATGTGGCATGTCTAGGACCAAAGCTTGGCTTATGTTTCGATTGTCATGGTGAAGTTTGGTTAAAAAAAGGCAAGCTTAAGCTCTTCTAATATATTTGACCTGATACATTGGTTGAGGTAATGTTTTCCTGCTGCTCAGTGCACTGAGAGCGGTAACGAACTCTTTGGATCAGTGGGAGCTAAAGATGAGGACAAAGGGAAGTGTGAAAATGTCATTCTCATGTCTTAGGTCGAACTTTTCTGGGGTTGCAGTTGTTGGTTTCACATCACTGTCTGAAGGCTGAGACTTGTAAAAATCCATGCCAGCAAACGTGGATACTTACAAAGCTCCTGAAGAAATGCACCACAGGGTTGACATCTCCACGACGACGGGTGGAAGAGTGCTGGGGTCTCTGTGGAGAGGAGGATAGATGACCACGAAATGAGCCCTTCAAATAAATGAAAGAGAAACGTCTAGTCAAGTTGCAACATACATTGGCGTGACAACTTCTTGGACTGGAAATCCAATCATTAAAGATTCACAATTTAGACGAAGACACAATTTAACTACAATGCCAATTTCTTCGAGTTTTGTGGCAAAATGTAGCCACAAATGAACAGAAGTTCATAAAAATATTATGCTTATCTAAATTTACCTTTGCACCTAAATTGACATGCTTTGAAGGAGGTATGAGTGTCAATAGATGAAGCTCTACCTAGAGGCAGTAATTGAATCGCACTTTACCAGCAGAACAGCAAACCCCTGTAATGATATCACTTGCACTGCAAACAGCTGTGCCCAAAGCTTCTTAATGCTGTGAGAATTCATTGATTTCAACATTTGTGCTATTTCGCCACGATTGATTGCTACTGAAGAAGCAAAAAAAAAATATATATATCATAAATATAATCAGTTGCTAAAACAGATTGAACAGGTATCACTTGCACTGCAAACAGCTGTGCCCAAAGCTTCTTAATGCTGTGAGAATTCATTGATTTCAACATTTGTGCTATTTCGCCACGATTGATTGCTACTGAAGAAGCAAAAAAAAATAATCTCATAAATATAATCAGTTGCTAAAACAGATTGAACAGACTTTGAACATTGATCTTTGAAGGAACATTATTTTGAACCAGATTTAGCTATTTGTTCAATTTCAGCAGGATTTAAGACCAAATTCTTTGTTCAATTGCTGCATGAAATGAAACTTGGAGAATCTTTCTCTTATCTGCAAACAAGACTGGAATATATTTCTAATTTCACTGACATACATATTAACTGTTTTAAATGTAGTTTTAAAACGGTGCATTATTGTATATTATTTATAAATAAAGACTATTTGATGGCAAATAAACAGAACCTCAAATACTAGGGCTTAAATTTTGAGCAATACACATATACTATACTATGGCGAACTGCATGCACATAGCAGAATACCGTCATGTGTATCAACCAATATGCAAAACTGAGAAAATTTGTAATCTTTTAATGCAGTTGTAAAATGAGACTCTGACTATCAGAATGAGAACATGCAGCCCATTTGCAGTGCAGAGTTAGTTCGAATTTGAGAATTTGTGTGTGTCTGTAAACCACATCCAATTGAATGCAACACAAAAGCAATTACAACTATAACTATAGTCCTAAACTATATTGAAATTCAGCTATAGTCAATTTTTTTCCCCAAGAAGTTGTCATTGACCATGCCAATGTTTGGGAAACACATTTTAGAAAAAAAGTGACTCACCTTTCCCTTTCTCTTTTTGTCTCCTCCGAAGAACCTGCCAATCTGATCCAGGAGACCAGGGGACCTCTTCTTCCTGCCCAGCCCGAAGGGGCTTTGTCCAGAGGTGCTTGCAGTGGCCATTCTAGGTGTCGCTCTGTTTGGTGGTCTACAGTCTGGACGGCCCACGAATGTCCTTCTCCACTCAATCCAAAGTCCGCTCTGGGGACACTCTGCAAACCTTCTCGATAGTCTTCGGCACTTCTAAGGAAGAAGGGCTGGCCTTTGAAGGTGTCATCCCCTCCATTGCATGGCATCACGGGAGATGAGGTGGGTCTGTAATAGCGTCAGTGATTTTGGGCCAGTGCCAGGCATTCTTTCGAGCCCTTGTGTGCCCGCGGAGGGTGTCACTACCCTGCTCTCTGATAAAAGGAGCTGCTATTGTTCTAGTCCACATCTGCCTCGACTTGGGCCGAGCACAACAAGGCCTGTCTATGAGAACGAAGCAGAGCGCTGTGAAGAACGGCTTCAGCACAATCAAACCATTGTTGTGATGACTCATGTTCATTATACGAATAGTTTACATTGAGAAATTACATAGGGTATTTTGCAACGTGAGGGGTTTGGAATTGTTAGCTTCAGACATATGTTGCCCAGGCCTCTCTCATCTTTTTAAGTGGGAGAACTTGCACAATTGGTGGCTGACTAAATACTTTTTTGCCCCACTGTATATATATGTATACATACTGTATATATATATACAAAGTATATTTCCGGCATAACAATTTGAACAACTTGTGCTTCAGTGAAAGACCTTTTGTACAGATAAGTTCAATGTAATGTTCAATGACACACACACACACACACGCATATATATATATATATATATATATATATATATATATATATA